GACATTTGCCCCTTTTGTTTGGTAGTTAGTTAAGTAAGTTAAATTAAAACAATTATACAATTGTTTTAATGAATTTCATTAATTAAATTAATTGCGTTCATATTTTATTTGTAACTGGATAACTACTATATTAATTAATATAGACAGTAATGATGTTTAAAATCAGTAAATATTTATTAATAAAAATTAAAAATAAATACTTATACATATAAAATTGTTAGACATTTTTAAGAATATCTAACTTTTTATTTGGTTTATAAATCCTATTTTTAATACTTTTGAAATTAAATTGTAGGATTTAAGGGAAAGAAATTATTCCCCAGAAATGCACAGATTATTTTTTATTACAGATTATTTTTTGTATTACACTTAACGAAACACCTAAAAAAAATAGGCATTTTCTTTCTTTTGACAACTCTTTTTCGACGTTTAATTTATTTGAACAGTTGCAAGCAAACCAAATTGCTCTGTTGGTACTATTCGAACCAATCGATCTGCAAAACCACCCTTATTGACCGAAATAGCCAAAATGGGAAGAGGGACGGTGTTTGAAATTTCAACCGATATGGAAAACTGTAATCTATGTTTATTGAAATGGTATGATGCAAGGTCTGTTAGTTTGGCTTCCAATTTTTTGGGGATAAAATACAAAAATCGTACGTTAATATTGATAGTAACAGCATACAACACGTCAATGCGCTGAGTCGATTAAATAGATCAGGTCATTAGTTATTATTAAACATTTTTAAGTTCAAGAATAATGGACACTAAGAATGTTTCTACACGCTTTCGATCTTATAGTGGCAAACTGTTGGTTACAATATTTAAAAGACGCAGACCATTATATAATTGCCTATTATTTATTGCCACATTTTAAAGTCTAAAGTATTAGTTTTACATTTAAATCTTTTTGGCTCTTAATAAATAAGGATAACCTATATACTTACTGTTTATATGGACATAAAATAATGAGTTTTTAAAAATATTGGTACTTCTTCTCCTTCATCATGATTATTTAGGGTCAGCCACTTGCATTAACTCATACGTTATCTTCAATGACACCAGCGTCATATCATTCTCAATCGCATCTAACCCACTTTTTTCAGTCTCCCTATTACCATTCTTACTGCTTTCAATTCCTCTCGTCTCATAACCAGTGCCAAAAAAACCGCAGAAGCGGCCGGGGAACGGTAAAGGGGCCTCTTGGAGTTGGCTGGTAACCCGCCTACATCTGGGTCATTGCATTATGTTTTTATGTTCAAATCAAATAAATATTATACAAAACATTTTTAAGTCTTATTTATTGATCTTAAAATATTTGTATTTAAATTTAGTACATATATAATGTATTACATTATATATTATATGTATGTGTACAAAATCATACAAACTTGTCGCTTGAAAATTCTGTAAAATCAAAATCTCCAAACTTTCAAATTAACGCTTTAATGCTTATTTGTAAATACAGAACCTCAATTTATTAATTTCTAGTGGTTTATACTATGCTTGGTTTGGACTGTACTGGCTTGAAAATACTAACTACCGATTTGCATCGAAGCGTTTTTTCGAAAGTGATTTTATCACTTTCAGATTTAAAAATTCCTGTAAACCTGTGACCTCCCCGTCCCCACTATACCCCGACCCCACTGTACTGGTTTTTTATGTTAATATTTGTATACTTTGGGTTTGAATCTGCAGTATAATCATGTAACATTTTAGCTTCTATGCAAAGCGAGAAGGTATTGGTTTTACTCTGATGTGGGCTTTTTTTTTAGCTGTACGCACTGTAACTTTTTTAATACTAGACCAATTCCTTCGAATAGCCACTCCATAAATCACAAATTTTATCTAGTTGGTACTTTGGGGGGGTAAAAGTTGAAAAAGTTTAAGTCTTCACAGACGGAAGTTGAAAAAACTCCAGGTACTATTAGCTTGTTTTAATTCATATTAAAAATCTTAATGGATATTCTGTAAAAAAGGCTATAAACAGAACTATAGGGCTACTCCACTGGAAATACAACTATATTTTTTATATATATTTATATATTTCTTCGAATGTATGTATATAGTCCTTTTATTTTGATTTATAAAGATTCTTTAATTGTTTATATTATAATGCTCTCCGGCGATAAAATAAAAATGAATAAATAAACAAAACTTGGCATATTACTATCAATATTTATACTTGTAGAAGAATGTGTAATAATATTTTTTATGGTTATTGTTTAATAAATGTATTATGTTATTCTAGGCGATTCGTCGGTAAACAAGAAACAAGCAGGTGGTGTCTTCAATTTGGTGAAAGAAAATGCTTTTGCTGCTCAAATTATTAGGATGGTATGTGTATTCTTTTGTTCAAAAAATAAATCAAAAATTACTTTTTTTTGAACTTACACCGAGGATTTGTTTTGCAGGTACTCTTATTACCTTATCTACCACCGCACAGGATTGAAAGAATTCCATCAATGGTTGATGGATTCAACGCTATGGCTCTCTATATGCTCCAAGATGAAGATGTGGCCTACCAGTTCAATTCTTTTATTTATGATTACCTGTATCGATTGTGGTTTGTAGATATTGGACCTGATAATATTTCTGTGTTCAGGAGAGACATTAGGACAAATAATTATTTAGAAAGTTACCATTCATTGTTATTGCAAATTATGAAGCCTCATCCTAAAGTATGGGAGTTTATTAGTAAGTTCTTATGTAAGGTGTATTAAAAATAAATTGCATTTTCATACAGTTGAATACATATTTTTAATCAATGGTAGAACTGATATTAATCTATTTAATCTTTTTATAGATCAATTGAGGTTTTTAGAAAATAAAGCGAGGTTGAATTTAAGCAAGCTCGGAGCAACATCAGAGTGAGTAATATTTTAGAATATGATTTAGTCTATGATTTATTTTAATGTAATGATTTAAATTGCAGATCCGTGTTGGTGTTTCAACAAGAACAAGGGAATCCAATACAAGAGCAATTGAAGAATTAATAGAAGAAATGACACATGACTATACAGAAGGACGAATTCAAAGATTTGTGCGTGTACCTTGACTGGAGTAGCAGGTTTTTGCTTTGGCTGTCACTACAGACGTAGAACTGAGGTAGATAGGTCATGCCGTGTAAGTTTTTGGCAACCCCATACTTATCACGAATGGACGCAGGCGATTATGATGTTATGTTTTTTCATGTTAATATTTGTATACTTTGGGTTTGAATCTGCAGTATAATCATGTAACATTTTTTTATTTTTTTATGTTAAAATTTGTATACTTTGGCTTTGAACCATATTATTTATTGTAATTTATTTTTTATCGAATAACCTTATTTAAATTCTTAGAGTAATCTTGGAGTAAATTTGAATAAAATGGAATAATATGGAATGCCAACATGGAGGTTAATTTAAAATTTTTAAATACTTAAAGGCAACTCATGGGGTAAGCAGACTGCTTACCCCATGAGTTGCTTAAAGCAGTCCGCTTGTTTTTTCAAAATAAAGTTGTTTATGTATACTACAGTGTTGTAAAATAATCCGTTCTTATGTAACGACCGACATTTGTCTTATATCCTTCAATTGGTATATATAAATCTTAACCAGATGGTCTCTAATTGTGGTTTAACTCCACTATGCTAACCTTTTATTATAACATAGGTACTCGTTTATAGTGTAATTAAAACCGCGTACCCGTATTATGCCTGTGAGCATAGTCAACTAAGTACAGACCGGTTTGCCATGGAATTATATCAACCAATGTTTTCGTTTAGCGCGTACTTTACAGTATGTCTTTCAACATATCTGATCAAGTACTACCCTCAATTTTTTAAAAAACATATGTGTTAAATTTTGCATGGACTCAGAATTGTATTAATTCGAGTTGAATTGAATATTCTGGGTGGTTGTTAGTTTTTGGATCGATAGTTTTTTTTTATTATTGTATATTCTTTTGGTAGAATAAATATAGCACTAAATATCGTGTTTGTTTTGTATTAATGAAGATAATATAGTAGTATGTTTTGGCCGTATGTAGCCCTGTTATCACGCCCTGTTATCACTATCACGCCCTGTTATCACAGGATCGTGATAACAGGGCGTGATAACAGGATTGTGATAACAGGGCGTGATAACAGGGCGTTATAACAGGGTCGTGATAACAGGGCGTAATAGCAAGGCATGATAGCAGGGCGTGATAGCAGGGCGTGATAGCAAGGCGTGATAACAGGGCGTGATAACAGGGCGCCATAACAGGGTCGTGATAGCAGGGCGTGATAGCAGGGCGTGATAGCAGGGCGTGATAACAGGGCGTGATAGCAGGGCGTTATAGCAAGGCGTGATAACAGGGCGTGATAACAGGGCGTTATAGCAAGGCGTGATAACAGGGCGTGATAACAGGGCGTTATAGCAAGGCGTGATAACAGGGCGTTATAACAGGGTCGTGATAACAGGGCGTGATAGCAAGGCGTGATAGCAGGGCGTGATAGCAGGGCGTGATAGCAAGGCGTGATAACAGGGCGCCATAACAGGGCGTGATAGCAGGGCGTGATAGCAGGGCGTGATAGCAAGGCGTGATAGCAGGGCGTGATAGCAGGGCGTGATAGCAGGGCGTGATAACAGGGCGTGATAACAGGGTCGTGATAACAGGGCGTGATAGCAGGGCGTGATAACAAAGTCGTGATAACAGGATTCGATACGGCCATATCACGATTCTGTTATCACAATCCTGTTTTCACTACTGGTATCACAATCCTGTTATCACTACTGGTATCACACACACACACACACACACACACATGGTGGGGACGGGTGAACGCGGTGACGGAACCGCGCTAGTATAGCTTCAACGCTCGACGGACACAGTAGTGAACTGCCACAGCGACAATGGCCGGAAAGGGGAAAGGTATACGCATGAGCAGCAGCAGCAGACGTAAGCGGACGTGCGAAGAGCCGAAAACGAAACTCTTGGCGGTCAAAGTGATAACGATAAGTTTTAAGGAGAGAAAATTCTTACACATAGGATGCGCGTGGACGGAGACGGGATATGCTCCGGCAGCGATGATTGTGTGTTCCAACGGATTTATGAACTTGAGCTTAAATCAAATCGTCGGACTGGTAACGGGTATTAATGATCTCACGCGGTTCGTGGGCAGCAATCAACGCGCGGCGTTCCACGTACAACCGCCGGACGGTATTATCATTAAAAAAACCAGATGTTTTTCAAAGTCATACCTGATCATCAACGACGCGCACACCCGCCTTACGCTGACCGAAGAAAATTTGTTAACGTTGGAGTGGAATCGCGAAGCAATCGTACGGGCACTTGATGATAACGCGAAAATATGTACAGCCCTGACGGAGCAATACGGCACGATGAAGAATGCGATGACGGTGGAGGTGATAAATCGATACGCAACAATGTCGGTCGATGAGGTGTACACCGCAATGATGAATCATCCTGTACACGGATTACCACCGCGAGAACCAAGTTATTACAAAGAAATCGCGGTCATAGAATACAAACGGCTGTGCGACGAAATATGGGGAGAAAATGTTAATACGATGATGATGATGCCTAACTCACAATGGAATTTAGCAGAGTTACTTGACGGTTACACAGATAAGTAAGTAAAATAAAAAAAAACCTATTGATTATATTTTAGTACATAGTAATTATAACAGGAACGACGTGGTGGAGGAGGAGGAGGAGAAGACGAGTACTACACCAGTACCACCACCACCACCACCACCACCACCACCGTGCGATAGTGTGGATGACATGACGGTCGAAACCTGATAAGGTTATTTCCCGTTAGACCGCATACAATGATAACACAAAGAAAATTAAGGGACGAAATAACCACACACACCATATATAAACGAACACGCTAAACCATTTAATCATATTCACACATACAACCAAATCAAAATGCACTACAGATATTCACCACCATCGCCGCCAAATTCGCCGCCACCGTTTAGTACCAATTGGGTGCATAACGTCGACGACGATGATGATGACAACGGGTTGCCAGAGTTACTACCGATGAGCGTAAGTCGATTTTATATTAAGGGAATAATATATATATATATATATATATATATATATATATATATATATATAAGGAGCGTATAGTAAAAAAAAAAAAAATGTGAAACAGGTGGTAGACGCGGCAGCAGCGGAAGCTGTGAGGCGAATACAGCTGCGAATAGAAAGGGTGTTCTCGTTAACCGACGTAGTGGGTAAGTACATCGACCTGTGTGTGTGTGTGTGTGTGTGTGTGTGTGTGTGTGTGTGTGTGTGTGTGTGTGAGTGTATAAAACTAAATTGACCAATTACATTATCACCAGATCTAACGATGTCTTCGGAGGAGGAGGAGAGCAGATCGTCGTCCACGTCAAGTGTGATGGAACTACCCGACAGCGACGCGGAGAGCACAGTCGAAGAGACTGAAAGTAGTAATAGTAGTAGTAGTGCCGATGACGACGACAACACTGACTACGACGACGACGATGACGATTATGAGGGAGAAGAAGAAGAAGAAGAAGAAAATGACGACGCTAGCAGCAGCAGCAGCAGCAGCATCATTAAACGGCGGGCGGACGGACCTGTGCTTCGCGGGCACATAAATAAAAAAAATAAAAAAAATGTAACAACGAATTCTGTTTTTATATGATTAATATTATGTGCGTTTGTTATACTATATATATATATATCATCTTGACGAACGATAAAAATAAATAAATATGTGTAATGTACCTAAAAAAAAAACTGTGTATTCATTTTGTATGTTACCCGTCCAATCAATGGTTAAAAGAAAAAGATTGATAACTGAGAGCGAAGAAAGGAAAGGAAAAAAAAAAAAAAATTTTTAACGCAATGATTATTTATTTTTAAAAAATATTTACAATCATAAAGGAATATTAAATTTAAAAAAATATATATACAAAAACAAAAAACAGGTATTGTTATATCAATTGGTATTACAAAATTTTGTGCACATCGCTAGTCAAAGCGTTATATTCAAAAATTTTATCGTGTACGATTAAACAATAAGCAGCGGTGTTGTCAGCCACGTTGCTAGCCGTTTCAAAATCTATACGTAAGTCAATCGGTGCGTTCTTAACAAAATCATTCTGTTTCGAACAATCTACAACGACGATGGGGGATGTCGATTTAAACTCTGCTGCGGTGAACAACGGTTCTCCGACCGGAACGCCGTAATACGATTCTTGAAAACTCGCATACATGTTGTACAAAAACGAAAATTTATCACCGGCATAATCGATTTTTAACGTATCGTACGGATACGATTCAGAGTTGAGATATACTTTCAACGTGGTCAACCCGCATCCGTCGAACTGACTGGAGTTCGTCGCGAGTTTATTTTTCCGATCGGTCTGCAAGGCTACTATCACGTATCGCGGCTTTTCCGTGTGCGTGCTCGTCTTAACCGCCCAGGAATGTTTGTTCGACCGGGGGAGCGACGGATAAGAGAATAGCTCCCAGCTACGGAAAGCGATGGATAACGGTTTTTTCGCGTCCAACGCTTTGAGCAACTGCAATCTAACAGAATCGTTTACATTGACGTGCGGCACTCTCCACGTAACGTGATCCAACACAACGCTTGCGGCGGCCGCGTTCGTTGTAAGAGCATCACTGTCGGTGCTCGCACGGTGCAAAACGAGTTCTTGTCGCGCGTTAATTATGAGTTTTCTGTGATCTTCACAAAATCCCAATATCAACCTGAGCGGTATAACGACATCAAACTTTTTTGTTGTGTTCGCCGACCAACCAGCGTTCGCGTACCGACCGTGTACCGTCTTCTGCATCGTTACGTACCCCTTGAGCGTGCTAGCAACGCCGGGTTGTCTCACCCGATCGATTTCGACTGAATTCAGCTCATAGCGAATCTCGTCGAACAAAAACATCAATCCGTTGGTGACGATGGTCACGTCGGATGTGTCAGTGGCCGGGGTGACGACAACGGATCCCTGCAGACATAGCAGTGATTCGCTAGGGAGTGTGTAGAGGTCCTGGTGTTGAATCGCGATGCGGATCTCATCGTTGTTCGTTAGACTGTTGCTGGAGAACGGTTGATAAGTGTGAAACTCGTATTTAGTGATGCGATCGTCGAATTCGACTCGCCGAGTGATGTCCAAAACGTCGACGTCCATTGACGGTGGTTTGATTCGCGGCGAGTTTGTAGCCGAGCGCCGATAACGTTTGCAAGCTCTGCCGTGTTAACCGGGAACGTGCCGACGGCTGAATGTACCGAACCGGACGCGTGCGGACGCTTTTAAACACCAACCCCATCGCGCACGTGTAAACGTACTGTGATTGGTTCACCGCGGAAGTCGACCAGCTTCGAGTTCTGATCGGTAATCGTGACCCGCACGCGGTCGAGACGATCCGTCGCTATTGGATAATAAATCAGATTACGCGGGGATTCTGCGATCTGAAACCCGGGCGGAACGGATGGGAAAAAGTCATAGATCGCGCGACTACGAACGCCGTTGACGAATGCGCCTGCCGCGACGTTGCATGTGATTCTTATACACGTAAGCGGATCGATGGTGATCAGACGACCGGATCGGTGCAAAGTGTTCGCCGGCAGCTCGACCCGTTCAAACCCCAATAGAGGGCCGACGCTGTTGGGGGCCGCGAAGCTGATGTCGCGATTACACAGGAGTTCCGATTCAAACGTGTTGACGTTGGGATGAAGCGCGAACCGGTAATCGGGATTTAGGTTTTCGACTAGTGACTTGAGCACGCGAGCCAAAGCGGACACCTCGTACGACCCGACGGGTATCACGACGTCGTCATAGGCATCGTCTGGTAACGGCGACGGCGCGTCCGATTTGATCTGCACTGAACCGGTACCGGTGGCGACAGTGTCATCGTACATATCGATGTTGGCACCGCGTTTTTGAACACCTGGCAACCGCCGCACGCGCAAAGTGTTGTTAGACGCGTCGACGTTGGGACGGGAATTGCACACTATGACGTCGAGCAACGCGATCTCCGCGCCGGTCCGCAACGGGATAGGGGGGAAAAACGTGCTGACCAGCTCGCTTGCGGTACCTTGAAAGGTTAACGTGAACGAGCGGTGCGCGGACGACATTGAGCGTACAGAAACTTGAGACATAGCTGACCGCAAACGGATGTTGCGAATCGTTGCACACGGTCGTAGTTATATTGGACGAGACAACCGCTGAAATAACGCTGAAGTTCTAGCGGCGGCGGGAGGTTACCGAACGGATCGAAAAACAAGACGGTATCGTTGCGCTTGTGGTAACAGCACCAGTGTGTACCACTTCCGGTAGAGACGTCAAGATTAACGACGCCGCACTCAAACCGCAAGGGCGCAGACGGTAACGTGTCGCGCATAAACACACCGCGGAAATGAGATATGCCCAACTTTGTCGCGTAATTTATAATATCCACGTTGCTCAGCGCCCGCGATCTGGGCAGCGTGGTTATCAGTTTTTTGGCTGGTACGGTTTGAGGTAGAATCCGGATCCGTTTCGCTTGCGGTGCAACAAATAGCCACTTCCGATTTTTACCGGGGCTTTCGCGTTTTTGTTATTGCGGATGTCGTTAACCGCACGCACGATTCCGGACGCACCGCCGAGCAGTGAGCCGATCGCTGACAGGGCTGAGAGAAAAGGCACAAGCGCGAACGCGCCGCCGATTTTCGGCACGGCCAACGTGCGCGGTCAGAGAACCGGTTTTCCCCTGGCTTTCCGACGGACCTGGTTGACGGCGGATAACGCCTTCCGCGCTGCCGCAGCGACGGTTAGCGGTTTCGCTTTGCGCATCGCTGCACGAGCGGCAGCTACGAGACTGCCGAAGCGCAGCCCGCCTCCGGTTTTCGGTGCAGACCGCCGTCCTTTCCGTTTACGTCGGTTGACACGAGGCATTACAGTAGTGAGCTTATAACCGCAGTGACGATAACCCGACCGATCTTGTTCGCTGAGAACCTTCGACGACGACGCACCGTTTACGTTTGGACACGGCATTGGTCTGCGACACCACCTTTATAATGTTTTTCGAACCGCAAGAACACAAATTAACCGTTCTGCGGCTCGACGACGACCCAGCCGCTGCTGACGACCACCACAGCCGTCACGGTCCCCTCCTACCCTCCTCAATCAGATGTATTATCGCGGGACCCAGTAACGTCGGCAAGACGACGGCGATGGTAAACCTTTTGACAGACGAAAACGGGCTGCGCTTCGAACACATATACCTGTACACGAAGACACCTGATCAGCCAAAATATATAATGTTAAAGAAGGTGATGGAGGGCGTTGACGGCGCGCAAATGCACGTGTACACCGACGGGGATCATGTGCCTCCACCCGAACAAGTACAGACTAATTCGGTGTTTGTTTTTGACGATGTCGCATTTGAAAAACAAAGAAACATCGCCGAATACTTTTGCCGCGGACGGCACAACGGGATCGATAGCTTTTACCTGACGCAAACGTATGTCAAAGCGCCGAAGCACGGGATCCGGGACAACGCGTCGATGATAGTTTTGTACAAACAGGACGAGACTAACGTTCGGCACGTTTACCAGGAACACTGTCAATCCGATATGACGTTCGCTGACTTTAAATCCATGTGCTCGCAGTGTTGGAACACCGACCGGTACTCGTTTTTAACAATTGTCAAGGACTTCGATCTAAACGACGGACGTTATCGAATGGTATCGTTTCGACGTGTATATAAAAAGGCGCGACGGCATCGCGCCCGTTCAGTAAAATGTAACCATGGAATCGCCGGCTACGACGGAAGCAATTCTACGTGCTAAGAAAAGCATAAAACGCAAACTAGACGAGCTGCGGCACGGATTGGCCGTGACGACCGAATACGTGCGAACCCACGCGGCGCCGATCGTTGAACCGTTGACAAAATTAACAGCCGAGTTGTCGGCGCAGCGGACGCAAGCGCGAGGCGCCCGGAAAGATGAGTCTGAAGAAGAAGAAGCAGAAGAATTCCGTATTACCGAAACCAATCCGTCGTACGGCATTCATCTACAACCAGACGGAACATGGGTGATGGGTGATAAAGCAGTACAGTTCAACAAGAACCGTATAAAAGTGGGCACGTTAACCGAAATACCCTTCACAAAAGGACTCCAAGAATTGGTGTGCAGCTCGGTACCCCGCATGCAATTCATCACCGAAAGCGATCTGACCACGTATCGCAATTTTCTCATTCACACAGGCTGTCATTTGCTGTCGTCCGGTAGACCGAAAACGAACCGCGGATACAAGTATAAGTACATTATCAAACAGTTGTTCAACGAGAACGGACGCGACCTGACCGCAGTTCGCGCCGCGGCCAAGACGGGTGACGGGATTACGCGGTTGACGGTTACGGGGAAAGACAAAGAATATGTTTACTGGGACGACGCCAACGAAATAGTCGACCGCCTCGCTTTGCTCAGAGCCGCGCAAGCCGCGGGCAATACCGCCGTGCACAACGAAATTATCG